AGTTGCAAGATATTTAGATAGCAATGATAAGATAAAATAGGCAAATGGATAATTAAATTGCTATGCAAATCATTAAATAGCTACAACATCTTTAGAAAGCTATGATAGGATTAAATAGCTATGTAAATCATTAGATAGCTATAGCAACTTTAAATAGCTACAAGATCTTTAGATAGCTATGATAAGATTAAACAGGCAAGTAAATGATTGAATAGCTATGGAAGCCTTTAAATAGCTATGGCACGTTTAAATAGCTACAAGATCTTTATGTCACTATGACAGCATTAAATAGCTATGATAGCATTAAATAGCTATAGCAAGTTTAAATAGCTGCAAGATCATTAGATAGCTACGATAGGATTAAATAGCCATGCAAATCATTAATTAGCTGTGCAAATCTTTAAATAGTTGTAGCAAGTTTAAATAGCTGCAAGATCTTTAGATAGCTATGATAGCATTAAATAGCCAAGTCAAAGATTAAATAGCTATGCAAATCATTAAATAGCTATAGCAACTTTAAATAGCTACAAGATCTTTAGATAGCTATGATAGCATTAAATAGCTATGTAAATGATTAAATAGCTGTGCAAGTCATTAGATAGCTAAAGCAACTTTAAGTAGCTATAGGATCTTTAAATAGCTGTGATAAGATTAAATAGCCATGTGAAAGATTAAATAGCTATAGCAACTTTAAATAGCTAGAAGATCTCTAGGTAGCTATGATAAGTTTAAAAAGCCATGTGAAAGACTAAGTAGCTATACAAATGATTGAATAGCTATGGAAGCCTTTAAATAGCTATGGCACGTTTAAATAGCTACAAGATCTTTAGGTCACTATGACAGTATTAAATAGCTATGACAATGATCAGTAGTTAGACTAGGAAATCATTGAACAAGTTTCTCTTCGAAGTCATTTGATGCTAATTATACACAAAAAGAAATTGTATCTCTTTTGAGAATGAGCCCAACTGCACATCATTCATAAAAAGTTGAATTTTATTTATGAATTTTTTGACTGAAAGTATGTCTTTTAATAGTGAAACATTTTCTTTTCAAAGTCTAGCGTTTTGTTTACTATGAATATAAATTCATGATTCATACCCATTTGGTAATTCCTATAAACACAAATGTTTAAAAGCATTAATACCAAGGGGGAAACAGCTAAAATCAGATTTTTTTGATTTTTTGATTTTTTTTTTGATTTTTTTGATTTAGCTGATTAAACTGATTTGTTTGATTTAACTGATTAAACTGATTTTTTTGATTTAAAATTGATTAAAATCAGCTGTTTCCCCCTTGAGGATTCATCAATCTATCAAATAAAAAAACTGCAGTTCGATGGAACGAACTATATTGAAAAAAATTTGTTTGGAGTTTCTCAATTTTGCCAAAAACCAGTTTCGAGAAAAACGCAAAAGCTTTTTTTTCTATATTTTATCGACCTATCGTTGGATATTAGCAAGACGTATGGTGATATCGTATATCCGTCACCAGAACTAATCAAGATAGATAGGTTTACACCTCTAGCGCCACATGCAGCTAACAGATGGTAGCACTATCTATCATTTCTTTCGATTTTTATCTAATGTTGCCTATCAATGTTACCATAAGAAATTTGAAAAACTTGTAGTAGTTCTATTTGAAACCTTTTGAAACTGAAAGATTTTTTAGCGAATATTTAAAGTATGGACCTTAGGCGACATATCTGTATAGTTTTCTCAAAAATCATTTTTTTTGACGAAAAACGATTTTTTGGAGAGGGAAGGGCGGCCTTAAAAACAAAATCTCTCAAATATATTTGAGAAAAACATTTTCTAAAAGAGAAATTTTAAAATAAAAATAAAAAAATTTATTTATTAAAGATTTAATCAACGAGTTATTTGGGTGAAACAAACGAAGAATGTTGTTTATGTCCTCTGGATTCTGCTCGTTTTATAATGGAACGAGCTCGACATGTTTCAATAAGTCCTTCATCTCTTCAAAAATTGGCTAATACTGTTTCTTGAATTTGTTATTTCAATTTTTATTTTCAACAAAAAATATTTTTCTTAAGATTTCTTGTGCGATGATGGATGGAGAATGCACACCGGATGATTGAATCGGCTCACACGTAGGTCCACCAAAAATTAATGATCAAATAACAATCGATTGGTTTGAATAAGAATCACAAATTGTTTGTTTTTTTTAAAGTTTGATTTCAAAGGATATTTTTGACAAGTACATGAAATTTTTCATTTTGGATTGATGATGATAAAAACGAATCATATTGTCGGAAATACAAAAATGAAACTTATTATGGTTATGAAGTATTATGTGTTGCAATAAATCAAGCAATAGATGTAAGGATTAGATCTGATCTTTGAATTTGTAATATATTGATAATTAAAAGGATGAAGTTCAATGGAAAATATTATTCTCGTATAACAACCAATGAATTGGAAAATATTTTTCGACCATGAGAAAACTCATCTCGATTGCCAATATTGACTGAAAGATTAAACGTTTTACATGAAACTCGATCAATACTTCTTAAGGTTATTTATTTTATTTATTTGTTTTTAAAAAGTTTTTAATTAAATAGAATATGGTGGACATTTTGCTCGATGTATTGAACAAAGTGATGGAAGTGCTGTCAATTTTGTTGAATTAGTTGTTAAAAGTTTGCCATCTTATAGAGATGAAGCTGTTTATGATGGACAACGAGGTTTGTTTTTTTTCACTTAAGTATTCTATTTAAAAAATATTCTTTCTAGTGAGTTTTTGTAAACGAGCTCAAATTTTAGTAAGTGATATGTGAGGATGTTTTAATGGTCACGGTTTAGGACATTTTATTGATATGGTTTATTTTCTTTTTAATAAAAATAAAGAAATTGTGAAATTCTATTCAAATAGGATGGTTTAACAATGTTTGTTGATTATCGTGTTCCTCAAATGTTATCACATAAAGGTGTTCTGGTTTATTCATCTGCATTAAAAGGTCAGCTTCAACGAAAGAAATTGATTCCATATGGAGATCCAGATGAATATGAAATTCGTGCTGAATCAATCTTAACTGTTCATCTTATTGTTAATCATGCTAATGAAAAAATTCTTTTAGAAAAAGATACAGATGTTGAACAAAGACTAAATGCACCATTTGTTGATGCTTATTTATGGAAAAAAGACGAAAACAAGCTCATTTCTACGAACAAACATCATTTCATCGTACTAGATCAATATTCTATTAACTATTTTTTTTTCTCTTCAATCATTCTAATACAGAATATCTTATTCAATTATTTAAAAGAATGAATAATAAATAAAGTTTTATTCAACAAAAAAAAAAAATCTTTTAACAATAACAATAGTGAAATAGAATGTGAAAAATGTTTTTTTTTTCTTCATTGAATATAGTATTCAATAAGGTAGATGATCACCAAGCGTATTGACATGAATATCTATAAAGAGAAAGAAATAAAAGTTATTCAAGCACAAGAAAAAATTACGTTCAAGTCTTCTCAATTCGCTTGAAATTTCACCCAAAGTCATAGCCGTTGTCGTGACAATTGTGAATAATGTTTGCCATTCGTTAGGATTTTCTATTTGAGAACATTTGAACAAATTCTCACGAGCAGTATCAAGTTATTGTTGACATTCTTGTTGTCGTTTATGAACCGTCAATAACTATAAGATGAAACAAAAATATCTATAATCACCTTCTCTATAAAGTGAGAAAAGGCTGAATGATCTTGTAGATAAGGGGAATCCGAGTCTACACGATCAGGATTTTCGAGTTCATTGTATTTTTATTGGCTTTAGTTTGAAAATTGCTCCTATCGTCACATATCAAATTGTTTTCTATGATGAAGTTGATCTACGTACTTGTTCGACTAAAGGGTTTATTGCCATCTTTTTTTTTTTTATGAAATTCAACTTCAAAATTTCCTTCTTGTCACTTTATATACTATCGATTGTTTTTTTTTTTTTGTTAACATTTGATAAATTTTTTTCTAACGACTCGACCAATGAAATACAATATTGTTCATATCGTCAAGAAAAGACAATCGTTATACATACAATTCGTCGACGAACATGACCTCCTTTAGACTGAAAATCAGTTCATGATGAATAAAGATCATTGAATAATGCCATGAATTATAATTATACAATATTAGAAAAAATTATATTGAATGACGTTGAATATTTGCAAGAGAGAAACGATTGAAGCAGTAATAACGTGGGTTAAATATTGATTTCTTTAGATAAAATGATTTTGCCTGTCTAGAAACTAGTGTCCTGCGGGAACGACTTTTTCTGATTCCCATTCCCTATTCCCATTCCCTAAAAAAAAATTTTTGTTCCCATTCTCTTTTTCCCATTCCCTAAAAAAAATTTTTTGTTCCCATTCTCATAAGGTTTTCTAAGGCTCTATTCATCTATGCGAAAGTGTCATTGGCATATATGTATACCAGTTTGTCGCGAAGATGATAATAACGATGTATCACAAGAAGATGAAAACAATGATGTATCGCAAGATGATCTTGGCAATGTCATTTTCGAAGACGATGATGAAAAAGAAAATAATATTTGTGATGATTAAGTTACGATGTGGTTAAGAATAAATCAATAGTCTATTTTTTGTTGATACACATTTGTTATTTTTCTGTTAATTGTAGATGAATAAGAAAAGTTATTGAAAATAAACAGTTATCAGATAGAAATATTTTTATGTGTATTGAAATAAGATAGAAAGAATTTTGGGAACGTCAATTTTAATTCTGTTCCCATTCCCGTGTTCCCATTCCCTAAGTCTAAATGGGAATGGGAAAATTAGGGAAAAAAGTCGTTCCCGCAGGACACTACTAGAAACACAAACGCATGTCATCTCTCTTTTATTTTCTCTGGCTAAGAAACATGCATTTATTTATGTCAGCAACCGTTTCTCTTCGAATTTTCTTTATTTTCTCAAAATATGCCGTAAATAGATAGGCGAGATGAACAGGCGAAAAGGATGCGAGGTATATCGCATCGACTATTAACATAAGTGAAAAAAAAGCTGATTTACTTCTATTCGAACATTAAGAATGTCCACGTGTATAGTTTATTTTATCTATTTCATGTCATGAAAATAAATCCACACGCACTGTTTTACATTTTATAGATCAAATCAAATATTTTTCTATCAGTCATATCTCGAATAAATATAGTTTTGCTTGTTTTATTCATTTCTGATTTTTTATTCAGTTATTTCGTCTGAAATAATATGATAGAGATTCCACAAGATGTCTTCAACAATGTGGAAGAGATGTTGTTGATCTTGTTCAATTAACAGTTAATATATCTCCATCTTATAGAAATGAAACTTTACCATCGATAAAAAGATCCAAATGAATCGTTAGAAACGATTGTAAATCATAGGTGCTAATATTTGGTTTAGTTTATCTGATAGATGCCGTTCATTTCATTTTATAATTAAAAACGATCATAAAATAATTATGTTTTCCTATTAAATTATTTGTCAATATCAAAGTAATTGTTATCACATAAGAATACGAAAGCAAGGCTTCTACATATCAAGTTGATCAGTAGATTTTCATGAATGATATTCTTTCTTTTTGTTTGTTATTTTAAAGGTTGAAATTTTGTATATGAACACATATGGATGATTCAACAAGTTTAAATCGTTTGATTTCAGAAAGACAAGAAAATTGACTTAGAAGAAAAACGCTAATACTATTCCAAATATGATATAAAAGTTCGTCGGATTGAAAAATTTTCGAAGCTGTCCGAATCTTATCCAATGAACTTTACTCTGTGATGATCTATCACTCTTAACAGTCATTCTGAATTCGCTGCTGGTTTCGATCTATCGAAGGATAAATCTTGCAATACTTTTAGACCTCTTGATCCTTCAGGTGAAATTGAAATAATCTCATATCGTGCATCGGCTTGTTCACGTAACGCGACACTTCGCTGATCAAATTTCGAAAAAATTTTTTTCGAGTTGGTTAGATCTGAATCAGTTACTAGATGCAGTTTTTAATGCTGATTATGAATTTGACATTTACTTTGTACAAAAATTAGATTTTGGTATTGAAAATCAGATTTTAAACTTTTCCAAAATCGTATTTGGGATTTTCTAACCAAGAAATTTTTCCAAAAAACTCGAGAGACATACCATTCGATACAGAATTTCATTCTCTACAAGATGGCCTAATTAGTTTCGACTTTCGTGTCTAGAGATAATTTTGAAACTAATCAACGATTGAAAATAATCAATATTGAACTCCAGAAAAAAAAACATCCAATGGTGATGATAATTGATGAATTGTTTTACCTGCTTGAATGAATAATATTGATGGTAATGCAACACCAACAAATGTACCAAAAAAAAATGGTTTTAATGGTACATCAATAATAGGGGAACAAAGATTTATAAACCAATTTGGTAAAATAGGTGTTATACGAAGAAAAATAATAAACCATAAAAGACTATCTGAATGTTTTTGAACCTATATACAAAAAACACACACACACACACGAACATTTTCTTTTATATTAGTTAAATTAATAAGTATATTTTTTACTTTTCTTTGCCAATCAATAATTTTCATTCGAAAATATTTTAATAAAATACGTCGACCAAATAATTTCGAAAGTAAATAACAAAAACTAGCACCCAATGATGAACATAAACAAACAAGAAATAGTGCTATGGGAAATGGATAAAGAAATCTAGCTAAAATGCTTAAAAATATTGAACCTGGAATAGCAAATGTTTGTAAACTGAAAATAGAAAAAAGCAAAAACAAAAAAATTTCTTTTTTTGTAATTTATATAAGACATTACCAAGAATTTTTGCATCATCAATTGTTTTCGGAATTTTAAAAGCACTTTTTTCTTCACTAAAAAAAAAACAATTTTATTTAGATTCTTTTTTAGTTTTTTTTTTTTGTAATTTTATAATTATCTACATACGGATCAATATTTGGAAATAAAATATAGATCGTCAGTAAACTGGATATTGAGATAAGAAATATTAATGCAAGTAAAACAAAATGACGACGTTTTATACGTTCATTTTGTAGAGAAATTGAATGATTGATCATTGATGCTAATTAAAAATCTAATTGAAATATAAGTCAGAATGAAAGCCAACTCGATTGTAAAAAATAAGATCTTAAAAATATTTATTTTAATTGCTTATCAATCATGACGTACTAACAATTCATTGCCTGATGGAATAATATTAATTCTAATGTGTCTAACAAGGGAACCTCTCCGGGTGCTAAAAAGCTTTTGAGCTCAAATTTTGCCCACAAGTAGAGAATGTATAGACTAGAAAAATCCTAAGAGGATATAGGTGCAAGTTGCGATTTGGCTGAGATATCGACTTTTTACTAGAATCATCCTATAGGACTCGACTTTTTCGATAAAATCAAAGTTTCGAGTTGTGACCTGAAACTTTATATACATCGAGATCTGAATCAGACTAGCTTGCCTACAAAGTTTCAGAATTTCTGGATGAATTATCTCCAAGATATGAATTTTCCAAAACATTCATGCATGGTACAATATCTATAAAAAGCGTCTATAAGCTAGCATACTAATATCTCGGAGATAATTTATCCAGAAATTTTGAAACTTTGTAGGCAAGCTAGTCTGATTCAGACCTCGATGTATATAAAGTTTCAGGTCACAACTCGAAGCTTCGATTTTATCGAAAAAGTCGAGTCCTATAGGAAGATTCTAGTAAAAAGTCGATATCTCAGCCAAATCGTAACTTGCACCAATATCCTCTTAGAATTTTTCTAGTCTATACATTCCCTACCTATGGGCAAAATTTGAGCTCAAAAGCTTCTTAGCACCTGGAGAGGTTCCCCCATAAGAGCATGTAGCCAAGCAGTGGATAATGAATTTCTTTGTTTCAATTTATATATCATGAACGAAAATAATTATCATAGTTTGATGAATCGACAGGAACATCAGAATATTACTGAACTAAAGAATAATCGAAAGTTCATATAACATTTAAATGAAAACTCTAGTTAAATTACTATTAGAGTCAATGATTATACTATCCTTATGATTGTGCCTACTCTCACGATATTCTCATTTTTGTATGTATCATTACAATAATAACATAGAAAACAGAACTTTAGAGAAGTATAGCAATTCTAGAATATGAGATATATCATTTTGTTTGACTCGGCATTGGATTAATCACTGATAATATCATGATGAATATTTTCATTTGCAAAATGGAAGAAAAACTCGAGCATGTTTAATCTCATATTATTTTATACAATACTTACTTTAACTTTTTTGACATTAATATAAATAAATTGAATATCTGAAAGTAAAAAAATAATGTTATCTTTTTTTTGCTCTTGTTCTATATTTAAAATAGAAACTTTTGTTTTTTTTTATTCAAAATAAAATCATATACATAAGAAACAAGAAGAAGAAAAAAAAAACCATTGATTTTTCTTTAAGAATATTCTCAAAGTAATTCACATCAGAGATGAGCGAGTCGCGGTTTCACACCGCACCGCCCCGCCCCGTCCCGCCCCGCCGGCGGGGCGGTGCAGAAACTTGACGGGGCGGGGCGGTGACGGTGCGTCGCAAGATCTTGCGGTTTCCCCGCCCCTTAGCAATATTGAGTTTTTTTTAACATTTTTCTTAAATGTTTATTTTTTTTCTATTTCGAAATTTAATCTTTATATACAGGGTGGCCTATAAATAATAGCATAACGACAAGAAGTTTAAATATTTCTACTTCTGGTCATTCAAAAGGATTCAATTTTTTTCATTCGGATAATGTAAATAAATCCAACTGTTAAGTGTTTCAATTGACGTCAACAAAGCAACTTTACTAGTTGTCAAGTAAAAAAATACATATGAAATATTGTGTATATGACTTTTAGTTGTCGTTTGACAGAATGACTTGAAAAAATTCAAATAAATCTGCTGAATGATACTATATGGATGACATTGAGAGAAATTTCTCAACCAGTCAATTTGAAAGTTAGCAATTACAATGTTTCGAAGTCTCAGACGTGGAACACTGATTTTTGTTGAAAACTTGCCAACTGGGTAACTAAAGGCTTTCAGATACGCGTTTTAGTTATCAAGCACTAGTTCCAGTATTCAAAGTAGCTAGTCCAGAAAGTTTTCTATATGTACATCAATGTAGTATCGTTTAGAAGATTTGTTTGAATTTTTCAAGTCATTCTGTCAAATGATAACTAAAAATCATCTACACAATATTTCATATGTGGTTTTTTTACTTGATAACTAGTGAAGTTGCTTTGTTGACGTCAACTGAAATACTTAACAGTTTGATTTACTTACATTATTCAAACGGAAAAAAATTGAGGAGAGTTCTATTACCAACCAAAAAATGAGCCCATTTGCATGAACAGAAGTAGAGCCATTTAAATTTCTTATTGTCATGTCATTATATGTAAGTCACCCTGTATTTAAATTATGCCTTTTTATCTCAGGAAATATAATAGTAATTATGAAAAGTTACTAAAAATTTCATGAATAAATGACCTCTGACGACAGACTTTAGACGGGGCGGGGCGGGGCGGTGACGGTTTTATTGTTGAATAGGCGGGACGGTGACGGTGCGAAACTTTATCAACGGGACGGGACGGGGCGGTGGCGGTGTGACTTTTTGGCTGGCTCGCTCATCTCTGATTCACATGTTCTACTACGTAATCGTCCTTGAAAGGATTTTATTGATTGACGTGGTTCATTAGCAGTTTCATGCATTTTTGATGATTGATTATTATCAATTCTAGGATTTGTTATACTATTTTCAGCAAGATGTGATATAATATGATTGTTATTTATTTTATTTGATACAGTTAATTCAACAGAACCTGCTAATCTAGATATAGAATTACTTGCACTTAATGATTGAAGAAAACCATTTGATTTTGATGTAAGTGGTAGAGAATCATCAATTTTTGCAGATTTAACAATTGTCGTTTGTTTTAATTTAGTTTCTTCAATTTCTTGTCGTTTCATTTCTTCGAAAACATGATGAAATGGACCTATTTGAATATTTTCTGATCGATCTTTTTTATTTAATACAAAATATGTATTCATTAATAAAGAACCATTTTTTGTCATTTTCGAATGTTCTTCAAATACATATAATTTTTGATCAAGTAATTTATATGTTTCATCACTTATATGAATATGTAATGCCTAGAATAAGAAGATTTTTTTTTTAAATTCATCAATAAATATAATGTACAAACATGAAAAACAAGTCACAAAAAATATTTTATTTTTTGTTATGACTCAATAATTTCATCTAGAATAAAAAGAACTCAATTAACTAATTTAAAGATTTGTTGGTTGTGTATCCCCTTAAGAAAATATTTTCTTTATAGAAAGAAAATTGTTCAAAGGTATAATTAGATAATGTATAGCAATAGTTGACAGCTTTCTTCATATAGAAACATAGAAAGGGGTTAATAAAATAAAAGATCAGGACATTGATTATTCCAAAGAATTAATAGGAATATTAGTAACGTAACTAAGAGTAGGCTATGCTAGGCGTTGTCCTATCCCCAGAAGAAAGAAAAATGTTAAGACTATATTGCATGGATTTTCCGCACAATCTTAGGGTATTGTCCTACCACTTACGATCTCCTCGTTATGTCACTAATGAATATATAAGCATGGATATATTTCTCCTACCTTTTTGAATATCTCCACTATATGGACGATATTTTTACCACTGATAAAG